AATTTTGATGTTGGTGGGTGGATTTCGAAGGAATTGGTTCTTGGATGTTCTTCGATGGTAATAAGAAAGATATTTTTTTGTTATTAAGGATACATTCACTTTTAGCGTTAGTGTTTTCATATTATATAGACGTATTACATGTTGTAGTCATACATCTTATTAATCGTCTCCTGTTTTACTAACTTACACGAAGGAATAACCACAAAAACCTTTTAATTAGAATATTACTTGTCTTTATTCTTCTACTATAAACAAAATACAAATTGGAAACCTACCACATTTTTATGTTTAATGCCGTTGTGGCCGAAGGTTTAAGACAACCGCTTCTCATGCAATGAGGATACGGTTTCGAAACCTACCAACGGGAAGAACCAATGTGACGTTTTCCGAGTTATATGTACTTTCTAAAATTATGTAGACACCACTAACACATGATGAAGGAAAACACCGTAAGGAAACTTGGGCTTATAATTTCTAATTATAAGTTTGGAATCGCCAATCCGCATTGAGCAAGCGTGACGATCAAAGTTCCCCGTGTGAGAAGGGGCCTTTGGTCAGCAGCAGTCACTTATAGCTTTGATGATGATGATGGTAATGATAGCATTTTCACCCTAAAACACAGAATTTTAAAATCAGATTATAATTCTCGTCCGATTTACAGTTTTACCACCACACCAAAGCGAAGATACGGACGTCTAACAAATCGGCAAATAAAGAATCGGCAACTTGTACCCGGCTTCGATAATCTGGGCCACGGGAGGGTTGCCACCTGCCTTTGATTTGCGGGTTCTGTCGAACGGAAAGGGTTGTGCAGATATGAGTTTTGCAATTGATATGGAGTGGAAATATTTTTGCTCTTATTGCTCTGGCTGGATAGTAAAAAGTTTGTGGTGTCTAGTTTGGTTTAGGGTTGAAATTGGTTGCAGTTCTGCAGTTTGTGAATTTTAACTGTGAGATTTTAATATGATATTGGCTATAGGTATTTATACTTATGATCGTCTGCATTGGGTCTCTTTTCTGTTCGTAATACTCACAGTGACAACCTCTCATATTCTATTTTGTGCAGACTTTCTCTATTGGTTTCTTATGTTCAGTTTCAATTAACCCTTTGAGTACCGTCATTATAGACACAATTAAAGAACAATAAGTTGCGGTCACCGGTGTCCTCGCGGTGTTTGACAGTTTAATGTCATCGAAATGCATGAACATAAATGTCATCGAAATGCTCACCACCATATCAAAAACTCACTTAAAATAATGCAAATGTATAATGCACATAAATGTATCAAGAAAATTACATAACCTAAAACAATAATAATACAAAATAACTTCTTTTTTCGCGACATCCCTGTACTCCCCGCATTTCTAATACCTTCGTTCACGTCACAGGTAAAAGATAAAGGTATAGTTCAATAGCGGAACACTCTTAAACACTGTCTTATACCTAATAAATTACTGTTACAGCCACAGATAAGGGTACCCCACTGAATCAGCAGAATATAAAAGAAGGTGCATTTGGAAAAAGTTCTTATCTTACATCTTTGAGTAGTGCGGATATATTTCTCCGTAAGAGTACTTCTTTTAACGGTCAAGAGTAATATAATTTTCTTCCGAATTTATGTGAACATCATAGTTTCTGCTATTACTTTATTATTGTATTTTTTTGTTCGATAGCGCAAATAAAAGTGTTCTATAGTTATTTATCTATGTATCTTCTTATCCATGACTGATAAATAATTCCATGAAGAGACTAGCAGAATTCAAATAAAAATGATTCAGTATTCAAGTAAGCTTATTGCGATACGCCACCCTTGCACATTGAACGCAACAAATGTCCTACGTAACAATGTAAGTGGCACCATAAAACAGTACAATTGAACGGGGTCGGTCCAATGATGGGATTACTCGTCTCATTAAGCACCACACCTAGGCGCCGACCACTCGTTACGTGCTTCACTGAACTGCTGTGATCTTTGTGCGTACAGTCAGCGCGCCATATTGCGCTGGAGAAACGTCACTGTCAAAATTGATATTGCCATGTGACGTTAGAAATGGGTTTACAGGGTTTATTTCAAATGTGTTTATTATTAAAAGAGTTTTTCGATTTTCTGAGTGATTTCAAATCAGTTATAAGGGATAGTAATTAATACTTAAGTCATTAATCCAAAATTTGATATGATAATTTCCACTTTGTTGCCGAGCAATAAATTGTTTTATCATATCGGTACGTCAATTAAGCAATTCCTTGAGATAAGCTTTGTTTCACCTTTGAAACAGGCATTCATGTTTAATCCCCACATTTCAACCCTCGCAAACTAACTCATTTCCACCTCATCGAGCATTCTGACACTTCGAACCCTATCTCCACCCCACAAATCAGATTGCAGGTGTCCGATCATTGATAAACACGAGGCAGGTCGAGTCAGGCCTCCGTGGCCTTGGCAAGATATCGCATTAAAACTGGGCCATTGATACGTCCCACATATGCAAACACTAGTCCCAACACTATCATTTGACGTTTTATTTTTGCGCCATCAAGTAGCTTCTATTTTTTTTATTTTTGCACTCTATGGCTCGCGGTGTTTGTGTTCGGAAATTGAATTTATTGTGGACTGTAGTGAAGTGTGTTGGTAGTGGTGTTCCGAGTTTAAATTAATATTTTTTTTAGAGGATGCTGTTATCTGTCCTGTATTTTTAGTTTAGCAAATCTTGACATTAATTGTCTCATGTTTGTTTAAAATTAGCTGCAAAGATAAAAGTAATTAGCAATTTTAAAACGTCATTAAATTAGTTAAGTTTTCTTCTCACCCAATATTTTTAAAGCTTACCGTTTAAAAACTGAATGTAGAACACAGTAAATATAGAGGGTGGTATAACGGTGTTTGGCAGCCTCACAAATCAGATAGACTAGGTTTAGGTGACCGGGCGGATTGCTCGCCACGCCGCGCTACATCGCTCTGACGTGCCGTGCACAAACGACTGGTTTTTTCTTCCTACCTTCCATTTTTAAATAAAATTCTATTACAATTTTTTGTTCCATGTTTGATATGGGTAACCAAATGACGTCACTTGCATATTTAGTTGGAAATAGAAATGGTTTTGCTGTTGGTATTTCGTTTGGCTCAAAAAACCTACCACTAACAGTATTAACATTTTAGGCTTTACTAGTTTGATATTTTTATCCGTTCAAACGTAAATAAATCAGTGGAATTTAGATATTACTGTAGACATTTTAAAATACAATTTGTCTACCTTTATTAATTAAATCCCCTTTTTTTAATCTGAATTGGATTCGTACCGACTTTAGTCTCTTAATTGGACTTTAGTCTCACATTTGTGGTTTCCCTCTAATGTACCCATATCAAGACTTCCCTAATAGAAGCAACATACCTTTTATTGTCTCTAAAATGCTCTGATAGGCTTGGTACTGTTTCGAAAACCTTACTTTATGTGGTTACCTACAAAAGGTTTCTACCTCGAACCGGAACTTTGTCCCATCCGCATACTATTCTGTTACTACATACCTGTGTTGTTTTCTGATAGCAAAACCGCTTGTGTACTTCCTTTTTGGAATACCATGTAAACTTGAAAATAGTTAATTCAATGTGCTTAAGCGATAAGAAATGTGTACAGTCAGTAATGTGATTGTTGTAAATAATAATAAGAATGGTGCACCAAAAGGACCAAGACTGTTTATTAGAGTTGTTTAGTTTACTCTGCGCCCAAAAAGGCTCGGCACCAAACCGAAGAAAGCGAATAAAAGAAGGTAAGATATGTGGTTCCATTTTCGAATTCCTATTTCGGAAACTTTCGGATTTACGATGTTACACGAACGATATTTATTGTTATGGAAGTTTTTAAGTTCTTATTTTGAATTTATAGTTGGAATTTCCGTACTAGTACATGCACTCGTGTAGTGTTGGGAAACGTAATATCGATAAAGTTGTGAATGATGTTGTTTGCGTCCGATGTGTCGATATGACATGTCGAAATCCAACGCACAGGTTAATTAAGCTCGTGCTGATGTCACTTGATCTCAGATGTCATGTTACATTCAAATTGGAACTGACAACGCATTGGGCGCGTGCCGTCCCGCTCGACACGTCGTTCGACGCCTGCTGATATTATCACATATTTCATACGAATCCCTATCATCATGCCAAAATTGGGCTCGGGATTTCCTTATTCCCTTTCTTTATTCTATTTTTCGCATCGTAAATTGTTATTGTAGCTAATATGCTTTTATTTCGGTATGAACAACGCATTTAGAGGCCCATATAAAGATGTGATTTAATTGTTATCAAACATGGATATAATAAGCCCTTTGTAGGTGTTTTCTAATCAACAAAGTTATCTTTCAGTGTCAGGTGTAGGTACACAAATTAGAAATACGACACAAGTGCCGATATCTCGCGTGACCTACATTTTGTAGACACATTAACACTTTATCACGATATTTACGAACATCACATTTTGTCTGATGCTCGAGTGGTTACCGCAATGAGCATTAATTTATTTTACTCGGCCGAACAAACTGACCGCTTATTTTAAACCGAAAATTGATATCATTTTATTTATAACTACTTTATGGAAATTGAGTTTAAGTATCCCAGCACCGGCGATAAAAATCATTTATTTTCAGACAAATCTTATTCCAGTAGTTACCTGCGATAAGAGTGTTGCAAAAATAATCATTTTTAATACGTTGCTAACAAACAGGTACATTATCAGCTGTTTCACCTAATTGTTGTGGGCGAGGCTTATCAATGCGATAGGCGAGACGACGCTGTGTTGATAACACTATAACAGTCGCCGGTCGCGCGTCCCCGAGTGTATCTACTCGTACCGAAAAAACAAAGTAAAACCGTGAAATAATATTTGCACGCCAAATACGCGCCTAAACGGTAACACGATTCGAAATTGGAACATTGGAACAATATTTAAACGTAACGGTAGTGATGTGACGATGTCATTGATATTATCGATGAATTGACATAACGATGAAAATGAGTACGTTTTGGAGTGAGTTTCTGAACGCGGCGGCGAATCACCCTTTTCCATCGATGCCTATTGATTTGCTGTCGCCTTTCGATCTTCAAACAAATGAAGAATGTTAGTATCCTGTACTTGTATGTTTTGTTATAGCTTTGTGTTCATTGAACGATAACGTGTGAAACCTTTGTGTGATGAAGCTCATGTGTTGTCATAACATTTGCGAATGTCCATTGCACTAGGATTCAGTAACAAATAGTAATTCCGTGTCGATTCTTATCTCTTTCTGTCATTTGAGGAAAAATGCATCGACATGATGTGTTACAAATATGTGTTATGAATGATTTTTTCGTAATAGCTACACAAAACCTCCATCAACCATAGTACGATCTACATAAATTATATCTATTATCGTAATTGCTATTCATTCAAAGCACGCGTGATTGGAAATCGCTAAATAAAATTATCAATCATGGCTATCGAACTGATTCGTAACTAAAACAATAAATGTTAGTATCACTAAATTCAAATAACCGTTGTTTAATCAAACCGTTATTGTATAAATAACTAGTATTCGTACTCTAACACTAATTTTGTTCAAATAAACATTTGCTACATGCATGTGTAATCAGATTAATGTATCGTTGGTATTCCGAAATTATAACCTTGCATTTGTATCTATGAAACTAGCGTTGAAGATCCAATTTATAGCATAACAGTCATAGCATGATGTTTTAATGATCATAAATGAGCTATCCAACACAAAAAGAATTCTTCAAATCAGACTTGTAGTTACGGAGATTAGCGCGTTCAAACAAACAAACAGAAAACAAACTCTTCCGCTTTATATAATAGTATAAGATAAAGCATTTTTTCAATAAAATAACTTAATACAGGAATACGTAAGTACCATATAGTACTTATTCCTGCTCCTAGTCATAATGGCCAATTAATAATCTTTCCACTCCTTTTAAGGTTAATTTTTAAAATATAATCAGTATCACACGGATGCGAAATAATTATTTGATAAGTTATAACATAAATTGCATGACTAATTATAAAATTAATTAGTAGAACTTTATCTAAAGTGTCCTCTTGAAAACAAAGATTATGTTTACCTACTGATATACTTTTGTAATTGAAATGTATTGAAACAATATGGAAAATACGCATTTTGCAGTAGCTCTTTCATAATCTTCGACTGCACGGTTGGTGCGGTGGCTGGGCAACCGACTGCCGTGCACCGTGTGGCGGGTTCGATTCCCGCACGGAACAACACTTTGTGTGATCCACAAATTGTTGTTTTTGGTCTGGGTGTTATGTGAATGTGAACTTGTATGTTCGTAAACGCACCCACGACACAGGAGAAAATCCTAATGTGGAGCAATGTTTATAAAAAAAAATACAACCATCACTGCCAGTATTATGGTACCCCGAAGTCCTTTGCTTCGCTTTTCAAGCATTTAGGTCCGAATTTAACTCCTGACAAGTACCAAGACTATGCCAGTTATATGATTGTATATTCTATGTTAATTTAGACATAATTGAGAAGGAAAGCATCATCACATTCATCACCAATCCCCTCTTGGGCAAGCGTAATTCTAAATTCCCATTCCTTACAACAGATATATCTATAAGGCTGCCCTACTTTCTATGTCACAAAATAACAAACTTTATGTTACTATTATTGTAAAAAATGCCTGCGGCATTTAGTCCACCCATGTGCTTGTTTGTGTGCATAAAGCTTTTTAAATAAATAAAAAACAAAAAAAAATATTTACATGAACAATTTTAAAACAGCAAACGTCCAATTTGTTAAAATAACACAATTCACGAAGTAAAAATAAATTCTATACGTAAACTATTTTGTTAGCGCTTATCAAATTTGATTCATCTGTAGCTGACGTTTTTAGATTAACGAGATACCTATGTCATGTAAATTGAATTGGAAAATGTTAAAATACGATAAATATTCTGTTGTTGCATGTGAAAAATAATATTTCATGCTCTAAACTATAAAAACTGTATGTAAAACGATACAGATTGATTTTGTTCATTTTCTGTTGTGAGCTTATTTTTCTCATTCGTATTTTACTTGTGTACGCTTCAGAAAACCTTCTCCGTGTGAGAAGAGGCTTTGCTCAGCAGTGGGCATTAATAGGCTGTTGATGACGCTTCAGAAGTAGTCTATTTGAGTAGTGTAGTACAACTAAATTAAGTTGTACACAAATCAAGTAAATCGTAGCTGTTAGTATATCTATTTAGTTTGAAACAGAAGTGCCAACCAAAGGATTCCAGTTCCAAACTCGCTAGGAAATGAACGTTCTCCGCACACCCAAATTAATGATAAAGCCGTACAAGTAAGAAGAGTAAGTTTGCAAGATCCTGTGTGGCCAAAGGACGCACGGAACAAGAGAACAACTGTCCTAAACAAACTGCTGTTTGTAACGACACTGTCCCATCCCTAATTACAGAATACGGCCACGTGTACAACGCTACCAACTTATTTGTGTTTTTAATTAAACTGCTAATTATGGCCGGGTTGCGTTTTGTTACCTGCTGACTATGCTACGCCTTTTAGGACAACAAAAAGAATATTTTTATGTTTATTTTCAATATATATCTACATATACCACACAAAAATACATTCCAACTTCCTCAATCGATATCCCTTTGATCGCTCAACCTTTGAATTTCTTAATTAAATCTGTATTTCTGTAAAACAAAAAAGGGCCCAGCCTACATTATTAAATCGCCATGCACGAACGGTTTCATTGTTTTTTTATTACGGTAACAAAGGGGCACGACCTTCAGAGGGTGCCTTGAAATGTATTCGTTTTTAAATTATCCGTATGGAAGTGTGTAGCGTTGCGCAAACCCAATCGAGTTATCGCAAACGCTATCGTTTCGATTGCCTTTATCATTGAGCACGAGATAATAGACGCCATGACGCCCACGCAACACACCTGATCTCCACAAAGACCAACCCCATCTATCAGTGTCGTTTTCCACATAGATGAGCACTCTCGCCTCGCACCATCTACTTTATCTTATCGATATAAGAAATATCGATACATCGGTGAAATCACGCGCGTCAATGAACATTTTCTATTGGGTAGTGATGTACCTTATCTAATCTTAATGTAGTTGCAGGAATACTATCGGTGCGAATCGAACGTGTATAGTGTTTTATATTAATTTGTAAATAATGATGTGAAAATGTATTGTGTTTTCGTGCGTAGTGAGGGGAAAGTGGTGTGGTTTAGTGTAGTGTTGGTGCGGTAGTAGGTAGACATGAGAATGCCGTCAGTGTCGTGGTCGCAGACGGCGGAGTGTATGCGTGAGTGCGCGTGGCAGACGTTTTATTGCGGCCTGAATGTGTGTGAAAAGTTCGCGGCGGCTCAAAGCCTACTATCTCAGCCGTATCCACGGTTAGATGTTGTGATTTCAGCCCCTTCATTCGCCGCACAACGTTAGTATCTCCATATCTTACATTCTACACACCTTTCATACAAATTGGTACAGATTAAATAACAGTATTTGTAATACAGATTTCGATCTAAAACCCAATATCTGAGCGATTCATCTATATTAGGTTGGTGCGTAACAAATGACGCGTGCCACAAAATTGTGAATATTAATGTCCAGTACTGACATGCCACACCGCAGCCTCGGTTAACAATACAGAAATGCAAATAGTTTTATTATTATACATATCGGTGCGCTAACCGAGCAATATGTTTTGGTTTAGTCGAGTTATAAATTTTCATGTGTGCACAACACTGTTATGTTTTGTTTTAGTTGCGTACGTGGTTTTCAATTCTGAAACCGAATCCGGATATTATTTGGTTGGGAAAATACTTCGTATATTTTGGTCAGCACTATTTTTATAAAACTTTTTTATATTCTCGTGGACTAAAAGGTAACTTACATATCGGCGACAATTAGCAATAGTAATGTTTTAAGATAAACTTTGCATCTGTTTCATATTCAAAATTTTCTGTCCTAAATCGACTTGGAAACTCCAACAAAATACAATATAAAGCCAGCATTTAATAACATAAGTCGAAAGTTTAAAACAAATGCTCGGGTAACAACGGAACGCGCATACAAATGCCGTAAAATATTAGCATTCCGACAGCGTAAAACGAAATGTCATCGGAACAAATCACAAGTAAATCCAAGTGGTGATAAATATCACCAGGTGTGAACAATTAGGAAAGTCTCACGCCAACTTCGATGATTAATATCAAAAGCTCTCACATTTGTTTAATAAAACGTAAACAAAGGATATACGTTTATCAAAAGTTTATTCTTTTATCATCGAAGTTTTAATTAGGGTTGATACTCGCTCGGTTTGTGTTATGAATTTTAAAAGTAAACTCGAGTATTTTTGTTGATTTGACACAGTTACTTTGTTTCGCTTGTGTAGTGGTCGCCAGAGTCGCTGGTGAATGTAAGGTCCAAGATTGAAGAAAGCGGAACATGGTTATAGTTTTACAATAAAATTATAATGAAATACACTACGTTATTATACTATAACACCCACCACAGCTTCACATTTATTTTGAAATAAACGTTGTTGAAATAACATTTCTGAAAAACCGAAATCATCTTCGTCTCAAATTATGTCAAAACTTCATCTAATTTTTTTTTTTTAATTCATTTTACTAGAGAATGATAAATGTTACAATAGTTAATAATTACCACAGTTAATAAAAGTTCAAAGGGCGTTAAAAACTTAACAATTGTCACCCGCAACGTTAACAAATTAATTATCAAGTTAATATCATATAAAATTAATTTTAACAACCATCGTTTCCGATTACCTGTCGCGTCGTTAGTTTTAACCGGGCATTCTACCTCATTTGGTTAACTGCTACACTGGACCAGGGCAACTGTAACCGTTTTATCCGGTTAAAATTTCAACGGTTTAATTGTGTGACGTGATTGTTGTTTTAATTTATTTCATTAATTTGAATCGAGCGTTGTTAATTGTCACTTTTATTTTGTTAATTGCTATTTTTATTTTTGTTAAAATGGGTATGTGTTGTCATTTAACGTCAAAGTTTGGCGAGTTTAGATATAAGGCCATACCTACGTAAAATTGAAAAGAATAA